CAGTGACTGCTAACAGCTCTTAGAAAGCAGGGAACCTCAGGGAGAGGCACACTGCAAATCACTTTCTGTGTGTGCTGACATTAAATTGATCCTGTAAGCAAGTTGTGCTAGATCAAAGTATCGTTTCTAACCTTTCATTCAATTTATGATTGTTTTCCTTTAAGACATGACTATTAGATTTTTAGTGCCCACAGCTCACAGAGTTTAAGAGATGCTGTATTTTATAGAAAAGCCACAGCAAGAACCCTTGGGAAGAACATAATCCTATAGCACCCTGCAGCATTCTGTGATTAAATAATTCAGTGTTGTATCTGCCTGCCTTAAAAATGAATCACAGATACGTGATCTCATTATGCAGTATGCAAGCACAATACTTGTGTATAAAGGGAAAAATCTAAAAAGTGCTGAAATATTTTACTAACACAGCACCTAAGTAAATAATGTCTTACTAATATAAAGTCACATAAGGTACAGCAAAAATATTTTATTTGAATATAAATGGCCTTGGTTCAAAGGTCATACATACACATCTGAATATACAGAGAGGAAAATATAATACCCTTGAAATCATGTGCTCAGAGCGCATGTGTACTCGAACAGATGGGCAAGAAATGTATTCAATTCACTCACTATAGTAATTCACACATGTTCATTAAATTGCCGACTGTCTACTTTCTATGTCTCCTTCTCCTTTGATTCTATTCTGAGATAGGAATTATTTTACAGCCATTGTTATGTTTTACTCGAAACATTTCTCATTTCTGAGTCGTACTGCTTGCGATTAAATTCACTGTTTTTAAGAAGTATTTTTTAGTACATACAATGGCATACTATTCATCTAGGAAAAACAAAGACATCATGAAATGGATGGCTCTTGAGAATATCATCCTGAGTGAGGTAACCCAGTCCCAAAAGGACATGCACCGTAGGTACTCACTTATAGATGGATATTAGTCATAGAATACAAGACGCCCATGCTACACTCCACACACCCAAGGAGGCCGGACAGGAGGAGGGCACAAGCAAGGATACTTGCATCTCACTTGGAAGGGGAGATGGAATAGTTGTGGAAGGCAGATGGAGAGAGGGAATTGGGAGAGGGAGTCGGGAGAGGAGTGGTGGTGGGGTTCACAGTCGGATGTGGGGAGGGGCAGGGGAGATGGCTGAATGGCCATGAGAATGAATGAAAATCTGCAACTGATTGGGATGGAGGGGATCTCCAGGAAGAGACAGAGACCTGGGATAGGGGAGATGCCTAAGAATCATTGGGGGTGTCTTTAGTGGTGACTCACAGCACTGGGGATATGGAGCCTGAGGAGGCCACCTTCTGGAGCTACACAGGAACCCCAGTGGAGCAACAGGGACACCAACCCACCCACAAAACTTTCAACCCAAAATTTATCTACAAGAAATGCAGGCACGAGGGATGGAGCTGAGACTGAGGGAATGGCTAACCAATAACCAGCCCAACTTGAGACCCATCCTATGGACAAGCAACAATTTCTGACATGATTAATGATACTCTGTTATGGTTGCAGACAAGAGCATGTAGTCCTCTGGAAGGCTCCACCCACCAGTTGACTCAGACAGATGCAGACACCCACAGCCAAACAGTGGATGGAACTTAGGGATGCTTATGGAAGAACAGGAGGAAGGAAGGATTGCAGCCTCAAAGGGGATAGGAACTCCACAGGAAGAACAACAGAGTCAACTAACCTGGACCCTTGGAGTGAGAAGAGACTAAACCACCAACCAAAGAACATTGACAGACTAGACCAAGGCCTATCTGTGCATATGCAACAGATGTACAGCTTGGTCTTCATGTGGGTCCTGAACAGCTGGAGTGGGGGCTGTTCCAAAAGCTGTTGCCTGTATGTGGGATATGTTCTTCTAGCTTGGCTGCCTTGTCTGGCCTCAGTGGGAGAGGAAACACTTAGTCTCGCAGAGACTTGAAGTGCCAGTGTGGGGGAATACCCAGGGAGGGTCCCACCTGCTCAGAGGATAAGGGGAGGGGAAAGGGGGAAGGATTGTGGGAGAGGGTGACCCAGGAGGGGTGCAGTGGGAACAATGTAAAAAAATTAATTGATTAATTAATTATTAAAAAGCAATTTTAAAAGTAACTTAAAAATACTGTTCCTGGTCTTAAACAATCCTAGATGTGTGATTCATAAAGTATAATTCTTCACATGAGTAAGGATGGAAAATTTAATAAAGCAGCAAAATTCCCAGGATGAGAGGAACTATTCTGACAATAAACTGTTAGTACAATTAACCTGCATTCCAAATGGGCCATTTACACTACTTGGACTTTCCAATAACTTCTGATTAAGTACCTCCTCCTACAGTGACATGAAATGAGAGCTGCAAATCAATAGGGCTGTGTTGCATGTTTCTAGGCACTGTAGAAATTACCAACTGCAGTACATACACTAATGCTAAGAATGGAGACCATGCTTCATGAAATGTGTACATATTTAAGACACTGGTTCAGTCTGCTACATTGCAAAGCCGAGTGTGTGTGTGACATAACTCTGCCATGACATACACTGAAACTACGTAGGACTGTTAGGTGTAGCTTAGTGGGAGAGCACCCAGCATAAAACTGGTCCACGGCTTGATGCTCATCAGCACCAAGCAAACCCCTGTGTGACTTAGTGGCCCATACAGTACTGCCCACAAAACCACAAAGCCGTGTGCTCAGTGGCCGGGCCGCTCCTCACACACATTTCCAGTTGGCAGCAGGCTGGTAACAGAACTGGGAAGACAGGCACACACACTGTGGCACGTCCTAAGCCAGGCTTCTCTAGAATGGTTATGACTGAGGCTGGGCATGTCATTTCTTACTGTTACACTGACGGGACAAGGAAAGGGAGGGAGGGGAAAAGCACAGAATAACTGCTTTTGTCTGAAAGGGTGTCCCCAAACATGCACGAGGTGACACAGTCCTGACAACTTCTAGGTTAACTTGCACTTTCTAGAACCTTCAAAGCACTTCTCAAGTACCCACGGGAAGGCCAAAAATGTAGAATTAAAACCAGATCACTAACAAGTAATCTTAATTATATTGCTACCTAACTTGACTAAACATCTATTAATTCTGATCAGAGTAAATGGAACTAAAGTCACTGTGAGAAACTGTATTCAGTACCATTTTCTAAAGGTCAAAGCCAGTCTTTCCTGCACATTTACTTTGCCCCAAGGTTGCAATTTTGACTTTTTACCCTAAGGAAAGAACCTGACATCAAACTATTAACTGAGTTCTTTGGAAGTAAATATTCAAACACTTCTACTCTTACCTGCCTTCCCCAAACAACCAAAAAGATCATGCCCTACTGTCTGTATTCATGTATTCAGGGCATGTGAGAAAAGACTTTCTTTTGGCGACAAAACTTCTCATAACTGTCTAGAGCATCACTGGAGGAGCACACAAACGAGCCTTACTTTAAATGCCTGGTATACTCTGTCACAGCTTAGAAATTCTAGACAGAGCAAAGGATGCACGGCTGAAAATGAAAAGGAGAGGAAATGCGTGCTCACAGACTTGCAGGAGAGCTTCCCACTGGCAGCTAAAACCGCTGACGGCCTCTTATCACGTATGTGCAGAATGTGGAAAATGCAAAAGAAAACAGCAAATAAATGAAACAAGAGCAAAAGCAAACAGAAGCCAACCCCCAATACTTCTCCTCCTTTACCTTAGAGCGTTGTCTAAACAGTGTTACCCAGAGCCTCCAAAACACACGATGGGCACTTTACTCCTGGTATCTAGTGTTGCTTATGCCATCAATGCCAGTATACATTTGTACAATTAAGAAACTGATGGCATGCACGTGAACTAAACTTTTAGTGACAGTCTCATCTACAAGAACAGCAGACAGTGTAAGAAACTGGAATCACTTAATTTGAACTCTGACCATCTGCCAAATCTGGTTCCATACAAAGCACCAGAGAGCTGCCTCTGTGCCAATACACTTCTTTCTAATTTCTTACTTCACACTTACCAAGATTTTTAAAAAGTTCTAACTGTGAGTAATGTTAATTTACCCAATGTTCCCAATCTTCTATCAAGCTTTAAAGAATATTATATTAAACTTTTAAAACATTCTTTTTCTCTGTATGAGTAGGGACAGGCATATAGAGACTGAAAAACTACATGGCTTACACAATAAATATACACAGAGATTGCATACATATTGTTCAGACTGCACGGTCTTTATATCAAACACAGGCTTTTCTCAGCACACAACTATTCACTGTTGTTAAAGGGTAATGAGGAACTTCAATAGCTGAGTGCATGCTTCTAACAACTCGGTTTTAAGAATTTGTAGGTTAAAAAAATACAATTCCTAGAACACTGTTATCAAACAAATAAGTTTTATTGGCATCTAAAAACAAAATTCACCCAACATTGAAACGTATTTGAATGTTTATGTTGTTTGCTTCTTTTTTTTTACTTACTGTAGTATGAGGAACAAATCACACACTTACTTTGGAGTAACAGAGACCATAGTGGAGATTTTTACAAAATCACTCTTTAAAATCTCTGTATTGTGCTCCTCAAGAATCTAGAGCCAGTCCTTGCATAAAATGTCACAGCTTTGTCTGTCACCTTAAAATCCTGCAGCAGCCTAGAGATATGGAGAAGATGTGCCACACCTTGCTGTTCTGAAATATGTCACTACCATACCCAACCCAATGACAGTGTCTAAAACCCTCTCTTCCATAGGAAGTCTCCGACAAGCTGTTAGCATCTCCTTGACGTTAAAAGAATCTGGGGCAACATTTATACTTTATCAGAAAAATAAAAAAATGTTTACCTACCATGTTCATATTAAGAACAATGTCTATACAAGTCAGTTGTACAATTATTTTAAGAGAAAGGTGAACATGAACATCAGATTAACTTAGTTCTGGTAGATAAACGTGAACAAGTGTGGTGCAGTCAGCCATTAACCTCTTACAGAGATGACAACTGTACAAAAGGTTTCTTTTACCTACTGAGCGATGTTATGTCCCCTCAGTCTCTGTGCTTTCTACCACCGCTTCACTCTCTACACCAGCAACTGTGCCGCTCTCCTCCTTGTCTACGTCACCTGAAGACGCCAGTTTCTCATAGAGTTCAGGGTCCTTCTGTACTGGTAAAGGCGGTGGCTGAACATGTCTCTCTGTATTTTCACCATTAACTTGAGGCACATTATCACCTTTCCGTTGAGAAGTGGCCCCTTCAAAATAATCAAAAACCCGAGCATGAGGAGGAGGAACCCAAGTGTTTTGAATTCTATCTCGTCCAAGACGATTTCCATTAATTTCTCTGCAGAAATCAAAATCTCTGTCATCCCTATCCCTCTGCCTCTCCCAGGGTCTTCTGCGGTCATCAAAATCTCTGTGAACTTCTTGTCCAAATCCTCTGTTCCAAGGACCACTTCTAGGATCAAATCGGTAATTTCCTGCCCGAAATCTACCTCTTTCTTCATGTAAGCCTTTTGGACCACCAAAGACAGGCAGAACTCGATGCTCTCTCTCATCAAAATCTCTAGGCCCCCAAGGCTTCTCTGGGGGAAAGCCAAAGTGATCTCTTCGACCAAGGTGGTCTAGACCTGGCCTCACAAGATTCTCTCTCATGTCCACAGGAGGTCTTCCAAAATGATCCCTACCATCTAATGGAGGCCTTCCAGGGCCTTCTCTGGGATCTATCGGTCGCCCGACCACATCCCTAACATCCACTGGAGGAGGTCTAGCAATGCCCTCCCTAGGTTCTATAGGAGGAAAGCGGTAATCTCTATCTCCTTCCTGCTGAATATTGTCATTCCCAAGTGGTATTCTTTTATCTGGGTTGGGAACATTGTCTATATTTGGTCTTCCAGGAGCCAGAAAAGGTCTTTCTGGCTGACTGAAAAGATCTCCTGGAGGAAAAGGTCCACGGGGTGGAGGATGAAGAGCTGCATCAAGTACCGATGGGGGAGGGATACCCCGCTGTGGTGGAATTCCAGGCTGGAGTAAAGGAAATCTTGGCCCGGGAGCCTGTGCTATCAGTCCAGGACGAATGTCTAGCATTGGCAACGCAGGCATCCTCTGAGCAGGGATGGTTAAAGGGGGTAAGTTTTGAGGTCCAATTGGTGGCTGTGTTCCCAAAAGTCCAGCAGGATTTGTAACATTTGGTGGTTGTAGTCCTACAAGTCCAGAGTTGTTAGGCAAGTTTGGAGGCAGTACCCCAAGAAGTCCAGAGCCACTGGACACATTTGGTGGCTGTATGCCCAACATTCCAGAGTTATTTAGAATAGTTGGTGGCTGGGCTCCCATAATCGCAGGACTATTGGAAACATTAGCTGGACGAACCCCCAGAATTTCAGAATTACTTGATACGTTCGGTCTCTGCACACACAGGATCCCAGAGGTGCTTGAGGGCCCAGGCGGCTGTGCTAACATTGCAGCACTACTTGGAATATCACTTGGAATCACTAAAATAGAAAGAGAGTAAACCACAGAAAGTAAGTTACTGCTGTGAAGAGGAAATTATTAACGCTGTAACTGCGCTAGTGAACTTGAGCTCCCTACTCAGAGAACCAGGCTTTCTCACACACAGGATAACCATCCCACCGCAGATTATTCAGAGCACGCAGAGTGAACACACATAACAAAACCTCAGTAGAGCTGTAGTCTAAGATACTCAGAACAAACACGTCAGGTTTATTTGTGTGTGATTCTCCACCATTAAGATATCAAACAGTGGGGGCATTGGGGGGTGGGGGTGGGGAAATCGCTTAATGCTTTCGCATACCATTTCTAGCTAGATGATGATACTCTGGTACAGTACTTGGCATGAGCTCTCACCTCTTACCTTCCTGTAAATACTTTATGAAATCTTATGCTGACAACACCCAAGAGCAGCACCATATACCTCCAAATGGTGAGTACTGGGTTTTAATGAAAAGGTCTCAAAAAATCTGTATTATGCCATTGTCTTAACAGCACTGGACATTAAAGGGACCTTGTGCATGCTAGGCAAACACCTATCACTGAGCTGATAAAGTTTCCAACCCTTTAGAATGACTCATCTGAAAATGTTATTGCAGGCCATGGAGAGAACAGAGTGATCCCTGTCCCCCAAAACATATTAAAACCCCATGATTTTACATTTGTGCCACCCTTAAGTTTAGCACTAATCTTCAGAAAAATAATTATGAAGTTAATCTTATGTCTAAGGTTTTACAGTCATGGCTTTTGTTTTTACCTGGTCTGGTATTCTCACCAGAAGGAATCTGGTGTTCTGTAAGGTGAGGTACTTTCTCTTCAGGCTCTGCTTTACTGGGAGGATTAAAAACATTTCCAGCTGGTAGAGTTGAAGGAGCAAGACTGCCAGCAACAGAACCGCCCGGTAAAACCAGGCTGCCAAATCCCACATCTTTCACAGTTTCTGGGGTCATGGACAATGGTGGTTGCACTAAAGCTGTTTAAACAGGACAAAAACTTATTTCAGACTTAATCAACTGGCATGTTGACTTAGTGGCATCCCTGCATTACTAAGGACATGGATAATAACCAATGCTCAACATGACGAGTCATAACTAGGAGGCTCAGCTCTATGGACAAGGCTTCACTCTTCTAGAACACCACCACAATTTTATGAAACACTTTCACCAAAAAGTCTAGAACAGGAGGAATCACTGGTAAAGACTATCTTAGTAACACATTGAAAAAACCTAATTTTCTGAGAATGCCAGCTAAGTGAATACTAAATACAGAGAAATGATTAGCAGACAGACAGATATCAGAATGAAAGTTTCTGGCCAATCTTCTTGAAATTACAATGTGGGTGGGGGTGTTCTTTATATTCAAATTATCTTCACCAAGTAAGGCTAGTTAGGCAAGATGAACTCTAAATTTAAAGCTATTCCAAAGTACTTGGTAAAAAAAAGAAAACACTCTCCATGCATGTAACCTATACACTAAAAGGCAGATAACAGAGATCTAACACACTCTTCGAAGGTCTAGGTCGGGGGAGTCAATATAAGGAACTGCTGGGTAATCCCTGGACACTAAGAAGGCTGTCCCCATTCTGTTCACCTCAGAGATACCTGGGCAAATGGTCAGTGCACTACAGAGAAGTGACACTGGAACAGAGGTTATGGGAATCAAGTGAGACAGGAAGAGCAGCACAAGTCCTTGCTACAGTTATAAAGAGACAGGCCTCTTTGGGTAGAGAATTAAAAAAACAACTTCTGAACAGAGCAATTTTTAGAAAGAATTGAAAGCTACCTAAATAATGAGGAAAGCATTTTATAACATAAAGGAAATGGATTTAGACTTTTAAGAAATTAATAGTCATCTCTATTTATTACTGTATGTACTCTCATAAAAGGTCTTTCGGAATCTAATTTTTAAAGCAAGATTGCCCAAGACAACCAAATGCTTGCTCAGAAACCCAGTGTTTAGTAACAGGAAACAGGAAATAGAAATTTAAGATACTTAAATGTCTATAAATATTCATTTTTGTAATCTTCCAGATTAGCATGGCAATGCATGCACTCTGAAGGCCAAGCCAGCAGCAGAGAACCTCGTTTCTCAGAAGTCTGAAGGGCAGCACCAGCTGTTTTACTACGTCTATGATTCACAGTAAGGGGAGGAGGTACATATTCATTTCAGTGTGACAACAGAGAGAAGAATAAAAAAGCAGCTAAGCAAAGCATCCTGGAAACTTATACTTGAAGTTATGTTTTATTTATACTTTCTCTACCCAAAATACATAATCCCCAGCTTTGTCCACTGAAAAGCTTTCTACCCAATAAAACCCTCAGAGCAAAAATAATCTGGTAGCCTGACTGTGGTCTGTAAATGTCCTTCTGTATTAGAAGTGTCTGGTTCAGACTACCGTGAGACACAGTATGACTTGGGGACAATCAGGCTGAAACACCTGGGACCCTCTCAGAAGTGAAGGTAACCAAGTGCAAGGCACAGAGAAGCAGCACAGGCAAAGGGAAAAGCATCTCAACACAGAACGGAAAAGACAGCCAACAGGAAGTAATGTGTTAGTCCATTAGTGTACAGACCAAAGATGATAAAACACAGGGCACTGGGGCTCAAAGGAGGACAAATAACAGAACCCTTCCTGCCCTTCAGTCACCTGCTATTACTGGAGTCTCGCACTCCCAACTGTGCATGCTAGAAGCTAGAGGAAAGGTTTGTTTGGTATTTATCTTGACCTTCCTGTGCATTACACCTGGCAAGTTTTCATTACATTAAAAAAAAAAATCCTAACAAAGGAATGCAGAAAGAATTACTACTTAGAAAGATAACTAATTTGCAATTAATAATGATAAACAATTTAATTAACAATAATTAGCAAACAAAAACATTAAAAACACACAAACTTTTCAATGGCTTAATTGCAATACCTGAATATCCTCATCAATCTTAACACTGTTAAATATGTTAGAAAATTCCAAGTATAAGCAAACCATAATATAAATTATGTACCAGAATTATACCTAAGGTACAGATAGATCCATCTACTCTACCTAGGTTCCACTCTAGTGGGGATAGTAGTAAGTGAAGATGATGTCCTGGCACAAGCCAGGACAGAGGCACACAGTTTCTGTACTTTTGCTTGGTTTTGTTAAAAAGTATTGTCTGCTTTGTTCAAAACGAACAGAAAGACACTAGCATGATACGATGCAAGTCTAGGACATGTTGCTGTGTCCATGATGTAAACAAGTCCTTGGTGCTAACTCCACCTACAGCAGTCCTGTATCTAGAAAGCACCTGAGCAGTACTCCAGGATTATGAACTGGAGTCTCCCTCCTATAGTCAGTACTGGAGACCTGGGCAGGAGGGCTCTAGAAGAACACATTTACAGTAAACATGACAAGGCAAAATCACAACGGCAACAGGATGACTTCTATGGATCTTGACTAAAAGAAGCAGTTTATGGAATGACAGTTTAAGACAACTGAGAACATATGAGTAAGAACCTGCGAGAAGCTGTCAATTTTCAGAAATCATCGAAAACCTAGTATTTTATAGGAATGAGCACAAACATACTAAGACTCCCTAGGATAAAACAGACTTTGTAAATCAAAAACTCACATGTTGGTACTACAGGTGGGATTGCAGGGGGAGGTACCACAGGTGGGGGAACTGGAGGTGGCATAAAACCTACATGGGAGAAAAAAGACCAAAGTAAAACAGCACAGAGAAATGACTGGTTTTAAATCAAAGGTTTCAGAAGTTTATAAATGGACATCCACACTGTCTTACTGCTTCTGGGTGGGGTTTCACCTGCTGCCCAGCTGCTATGGAGCCTAGGTCATTCTACTTCAGCTTCCTGAGGAATGAGGGCCTCACTGCTCCACTACACCAACAAAACCTCAGCTTTCAAATGGCCTCTATTACCATGCTGACGGATCCGTGTGGTACTTTTCCAACTAAAATGACTTCTATACATACTTTATTTGATTCCCATAAGGCAGGTAAAGCAGTGATCCTGATCATAAAATTCTATTTATTTATTCACTCATTAACATCCTGTGAAACGATCTATGCTGCTGATAGTATCATAAGCTAGGGAATCAAGCTGTTACGCCGGGATGCTGATCACAGGGAGAGTGCTAAACCTCCTATCTCAAGCTACTGGTCACAGTAGGTAACACGGTGCTGTCCATCTTCCATACTTTAACATACTCTGTTATTTACCACTAGTTTAACATATTTTGTTAATTTTAGATTATATGATGTTTTAAATTCTTGAATAAATCGTAAAATTTAATGACATTAAGATCCTACTGAGCACATGACCAAATTATAAATCTGCTTCTTTGCAGTTTTTAATAGTATTAACTTAAATAAAGAGGCTGAGAGGTGTGAGCCAATGGATCGAGAGTCTGGAGGACAGACGCTAAGGCTGGTTAAGTCCCGTGCTGAAGTCTGCAAACCACTGTATGGCACTGGGGCCCCAAAGCCAACGTTTACAATACTCTAAACAGAGTTAAAACAGTAAGATATAAATTCCTTACCAGGAGGTGGTTGTGAAGGGTTAAAACTTGCTCGTAGAAAAGGAGGTGGAGGGATTGGGCTGAATCCAGGAGGGGGGACTGGCATCGACACAGGAAACGCTGGTGGAACTAAGCTCACTGCAGGAACGGCCGGTGCTACAGGAATCTTTGAGTAGAAAACGTCTGTTAGCCAGAGTGTCCCATGAAAGTGACTACAATACACCATTAAAGGGGGAAGTAATAAATGTCATTACATTTGTTTTTCTCTTTGTGTGTACTTTTCTTTCGCACACAGTATTAGTTAATAGGTAGTAGCATACCTGGAGACTGTAAGCAACCTCCTATAGTCAGCCAGCATGAGGCTCAGCCTTCATTAGCACCTGGCCGCCAGGCTGCTCTGGGAAGCAAGGTGGTAGCAGCTTTCCAAGAGCATTAAATTCTCAAAACTTTGTGTTCTAATCCTAACACAATTATCTTTTATTCACCAGAGCTACAAAAAGCCCCAGACATCTCTCCAGCATGGCTTTCCCTCGTTCCTGACCCTCAAATGCTGGCAAGTCTGCTCAGCATCTCAACTTCACTGCCTAAAGAAAGAGCACTTCAAAGGGTTCAAGCATGCACAGAACAAAACCAATTCCCAAATGCTATTCCCAAGAGAATTCTTCTCACACCATCTTCTATTCTCAGAAACTAACATTTCCCATGTAATTTCTTGGACCAAGTATCTTCGTCTTCTTTTTGCACAACTCCAAATCCAATACGCTAGGCAGTCCTGACGGCTGTGCCCCCTAAGTCATCTCTCCCGTGCCACTTCACTTCCCTTTCCTTACAGTCTTCTCCATGTCACAACCTCCTCTCACTCACATTGCTAGTTATCTTCAGCCCATCTCTCCTGTGACGTTTGGTGTAGTCTGTCCACTATAAGCAGTATAGTGAATCATGTAACAGGTCATTCTCTGACCCTACTCCTCCAATGGTTCCCTTCACTCAGAATGACAGGAACTCCTCCGAGAGCTGACCTTACAGGCATGACTCAAGCACTCATGTCACTAAGACCTCCAGCTTGGATTTCCTCAGACATAGAAATGGCTAATTTCTTTACCACTTTTTAAGAGCTATTAATCAGCTAGGTGCACGCTGAGCACCATTTTAAGATGGCACACAGCTATGCAGATATTTCTAAGCAGCCACATACCCTTTTCTATGCAGAAGACCTAATCTTATCTCTTTACATTTCTGTCTCCCTGAACGACAATGAAAGTTCCACATTTACATTGATGAACTCCAAGCCACAGGGCTCATAATAGAGTGTATAACTGAACATATTTAATACATAAACATTTAAGTATAAATAATACCACTTCCAACAATGACTTTTAAAAATGTTTCACTAAATCCATTAAAATAATTTCATTAATCTAATAAAATTATCAAATAATATTATTGATAGAAATCTGCTGCACAGAAAGCATAAATCTAAAGAAAATACTTCAAATCCAGAGAATTACACCTTTCATGCATTTAGTACAATAACACTACTGCACCTGCAGAACGTTCTTAACAACAAGCTATCTGTCCTAATGTGGACAGCAGCCTCCAACTGTTACACGAGAATAAAATCAGATGGGAAGATGCAAGGCTACTAAGCACAGCTAGTACTAACCTGCAGCATGGCAACAGGAGGAGGGAAAACCTCAGCCTGGGTTGTGACCACTGTCTCCTTTTCAACCGGAGTTGGACTCTGTGTAGTCTGTACCGTCTCTTTAACAGGTTCTGAGGCTTTCACAGTTTCCCATTCTAAGCAAAATATTTGAAATTGATTTCCTTTAAAGCAACTTTTCAGGGTTTTTTTCCCATTTACTTTACATCTAAACTCTTGGCAAATCCAAAATGATTAACGCACAAGATAAAAATGACAACACTGAGCTGTAACAGTGACATTTCATACAGGTTTCCTGATTGAATAACCAGCCCTGTTCTCTATGCCATCAGGAACAATTAATGAAGAACTAATGCAAAGAAATATTCCATAGAAGACAAGAACATAAGAAATGAAATTAGTAGCGGGACAGTGGTGGCGCACGCCTTTAATCCCAGCACTTGGGAGGCAGAGGCAGGAGGATTTCTGAGTTCGAGGCCAGCCTGGTCTACAGAGTGAGTTCCAGGACAACCAGGGCTACACAGAGAAACTCTTATCTCAAAAAACCAAAACAAGAAGAAAGAAAAAAAAAAAAAAGAAAGAAATGGAATTAGTGAGGCATGTGGTACATATCTACAGCCAAGCACTTAGGAGGTAGAGGCACTAGGACAGGAATCAGAGACCAGGCTGGGTAACACTTGACAGCATTTTTTTCAGAGCAAAGAGCAAACATGACTAGCTTTTACTTCTCTGTACATCTGCCTTCATCTCCTCTGTTCCATGCTGATTAGGCTCTGGTATGCTGTTTCCAAAGCAGACACATTTCTCAACTCTTCAGATATACTCCACCCTACAGACCTGCATCCATTAACACCCATGGCTGGCTCTAGTACACTCCTGCTCCTGCTCCCGCTCTGGCTCCCTCTCCTTCTCTCTTCCATTCCCCCACCCCCTACTAGACTCATCATGCAGCCTGGGGTCGAACTTCTTATGTGGACCAAGCTGGCTTCAGATGCACAGAGACCAAATGTCTTTCGACATCAAGGATTGAGTCATGTGCAGCATCATACCTGATCTGTGATCAATTTCTTCATATACCAACATAGAAATCCTATGTAGACTTTTTTTTTGCTTATTATTTCTTTTGAGTAGAATATGGTTTTCCCAAGTACAGAGTAAAAACTCTATAGACCAGGTGATCTCTCTGTTCTAACTATATACTTGGCACTGTAAATAAATGTAAAAAGGGAAAGAGAGAAGAGGAAGAAGAGGAAGAAGAGGAGGAGGAAGAGGAAGAAAAAGAAGAGGAGGAGGAAGAGGAAGAGGTAGAAAAGGAGGAAGAGGATGAGGAGGAAGAAGAAGAGGAGGAGGAGGAAGAAGAGGAAGAGGAGGAAGAGGAGGAGTTCTAAAAAATACGTACACAAGCAAGCATGACTGTGGTCCCACAGAGCTACTTTTTCAGAACAGGCCATGGGTAGGCTCCAGCCCAGAATGTAGGCCATGGGAGCCTGTGCCACATATCTCAACGGTAACTCTGTTTCACTATCATAAGTTCCTGAAGAATCAACCTGTCACAGCAGAGGTTCAGACAACTAAAAGAAGTACTGTCCTACAAAAGCAGCCATAGGGCACAGGAAGCACATAATGAACTGTGTTGATCTATCTGGTGGTCCTCAGGTTCAAACTCAGAAGCTGCTGAAATCCTTGTTTTCCACTTAAAATTTGTGAAATTAAAAATACTTCAAAAAAGACTCCCTGGCGCAAAGCTTTCTCTTAAATATAATTAAAATGTTGTCATAAAAGAAAAAAAATGCTACATTTGCAAGGTTTCATTCAGTACTCTGCTAAACAATTCTTTGACTCCCACGGAAACACAAAGTACTGAACAGGCAACATCAAAAACAGCATCATTTTTCTTCTTCTTCTTCTTGGAGCTGAATCCAGGGGGTAAGTATAGTTCACTCTGCCTCCCCAAACACATTTCTATTATACCCTTCTGGTGTCTACTGTCCTCTTACCAGCATTTACAGTTTCCTGATCAATCATGCCTCCCTCTGCAAAGCCATCCAAGTCATCTACTTTAACTTTTTCCCAGGGTATATATGTGACTCCAAGATCCACGTCCCAGAACTGTTTGTATTCAGTCTTTACACCTTTGTTCAAAGCCCAGGCAATCTATTGGGAATGGAGAGAAGAAAAGGAAGATCACAGACAAACTACAATAAAAATAAAGTTTGAGGTCTTCAATGAAAATAAAGCTTGAAATCATATTTAAACAAATACAAACAAAGCTTGCTTTTCTTGAGCATTGGGGATCATATTTGCCATGGAAGATCTGTTTCCACTTCTTACCCAATTCTAAATAACTCATTTCAGGAGATAATACAAGTCTACTTTTTGCAACAGGATCTCTATTCCACTGGCAATAACTAGGATGGTTATCAGAAGTTTAATAAAGCCCTGTACACCATGCCAGTGCACATAAGCAATACTGAGTTTACACACACACACACACACACACACACACACACACACACACACACAGAGTCAAGCAACCATAAAAGATAGGCACACACGCTTTGTAGAAAGAGTTCAGAGTTTTAATTTAGGTGCGGAAGCTGACTAAATGCATTCTCTCTAGATCAGTGGTCCTCAACCTTCTTAATGCTGCAATTCTTTAACACAGTTCCTCATGTGGTAACCCCTATCTATAAAATTATTTTCATTGCTTCATCATAACTGCAATTTTGTTATTGTTATGAATCATAATATAAATATCTGTGTTTTCCAATGGTCTTAGGTGATCAAAAGGATTGTGACCCACAGGTTGAAAACCAGTCCTCTAAAGAGTCAAAATGAAATTGAGTCAATCACAGAAGGAACGAGAAAACAATAAATTCTCAATTTAAAGACTAAGAAGAAAACATGCTCAAGGATAAACTCTTTTAGAAGGCTGGCTTCAATAAGAAAAAAAAAATAGAGAAGATGTGTTGGGAGAAAAAGCAAATGAAAGATAAACCTAAATAAAAAAGATCTAACCAAAATGGGGCCCCAAGTTAACACACTTGTGGAGATGTGAACTTAAGGAACAGACAATCTCAAATTTTGGTTAGTAAGTTAGTATACTTAGTCCTAATTATAACTCAATAATACTGAACTCATAAGCTTGCTGGAAATATTAAAGATAAGGCTGAGTACAGAGCTTAGTGTAAGAGTGTATGCTGTAATTACCATGTTCAAGACCCTGGATCTGATCCACATCAAGAAGCAAAGGGGAGGAAACGGATAGAAAGAACTGGGGCATTCTAAATGATGCAAACAAGAAAGATCACATGACCTTGCCTATGAAAAATGTATGACTGTGACGTAAGAGGCTGAAATGTTAGATGTCACTATACCACAAGTCAATCACAAAAACTTACCTTAATGACCTTAGAACCAATTTTATAGGATCCTGAACTCAGTTTCTGAAGAGCCCGAAATGAATCTTGTCGATGAACCATACAGACATATGCACAGCCCCTGGGTGGAATCATCTATGAGGGAAAAGTCCTTTCTTTACAGAGAGCAGAAGATGGAAATTCATTCTGATATTTGTTTCTCATGAAACTGAACATGTATGACAACCGATCAAACCACCAAATTAATAATTCTAACTCTGTTTATTGATACAACACATATGCAATCAATTATTCACTTTTAATAAGCCCCATATTCTACTCTGATTCCACTTCCATTCTAAGCCATAATAAAGGTGAAATATTGAATACATGTTATCAGTTCCTTGCCTACAGAAACAGAACTTACTATACTGTAACAAAAAACCATTTTTAAGCTGGCAGGTAAAATCAAAGAAAGGGGGGAGGGACAGGAAAGGGATCCTGCTAACAAACATTTAAGGCTTGGAGGAATTAGGTGCTATACTGCTATAAAACCCCCATGAATATTTTGCAAATTCAAGAGCTTCATAGTAAACAGAGAAAACTGAGCAAAGTAAACAAATCGTGCCAAGCTGAGAGTCACCATGTCGCACACGTCGGACTCAATGAGGATCACCTTAAGTGGGAAGTAAAGAGAGTGAGAGCTGACACAGTTGGTGCTCAAGAGATACTCACATTAATGGATTCAATTTGTCCAAACTCCTCAAAAAGGTTGGTTAAGTCTTGCTGTGTAGCCTTCTTGTCCACTTGGCCAACCCAGAGAGTAGTGCTGCATACTGTCAGGACAGAGAAGCAGAGAGCTTCAATCACAAGGACACAGATGCCTCAAACATTACTAAGAACAACAGATCAAACTTAACCTAACATTTAGACAACCTGACAGCTCCACACAGATAACAGCGACATTTAAAACTGACTGAGATATTAGTGTCCACTTACATTTCTACAGACCCAACTTCCTGCAGGTCACCAACTTGCAAGCTAAAGCACCTGTGAACAACACTGTCCAACCACCAGAGAAAAGTGGTGTATGAGACTGGAAGAAAAGCTTTCAAAGTCCCCAACTGTCTCTAAAGTACAATAGTTGTGAAACTATTTCCTACCTGTGGACCTTCTTAATATCTTTGTATTGAATGACTCAGTGGATATTTCTCCCTGATCCACATATAAATCTGAAACCTATATGAACTTTCTTATCCGTAAGGAAATGACACTTTGCAGAGAGATAAGAAAGGAAATGGATAAATCAGGACTCCTTAACTTGCTACTGAAGAGTTGAAGAGGAACCAAACGGCACTTCTGTGTGCACACTCATGTGTATGCAGAAGAGCACGGACTCTTTGAGACTCAGCATTACACATGAACACACATGACCTGAATTCTGTCTCATGACTGAGTAGCAAATGCTCTTGAAACTTCCGCCCTGAAAGCCCCTTCTGCCTAATGCGTAAGAGTTGGGAGGAGACACTGTACTGCTCATGCTTCTTCAATCCCCTTCACGGCTGACACACTTCCACGGTGCTAACGCATTGCATCTAGGGGGTTTTCCATGTCATTTCCCAGCACTTTAATCCTGACAGAAAAGGTGGAAAACAGGCTTTTCTAGGGTTAACGTAACCTGAAATGTGATCCTTGACAAGTTCACTAACAAGAGTCAGAACTCAAAGGTCTTGCAGACAGACAGGAGTTTTGTGCAGCTACCACAGACTGTGACGACTAGTTGTTCTTTGTCTCACGCACGCTCACTCTGGGTGATTCTCAACTCACGATTCACTCACTCTATCAACATCTGTAACTTTTTAGCATTTTACATTAAAGCCAGTGCCCAGTGAGACTGCTCAGCAGATCCACAGTTACTTTGCCAAGACTTACAACTTGAGTCTGAGTCTTGAAGCCTACATGATGGAAGGAGAGAACTGTCTCCTCTAAGTAGTCCTCAGACTGCATGCATAGATCATGACATATGAACCATACACGTACAGCAGACAGGCACACATAGACACACAGGGAGACATACAATTTTTTTTTTAAATAGATCTTTAATGTAAGACACTACAAAGGCTGTTTTTACCAAAGGCTAACATGCCCCCCACACAGGCTTAGTCTTTAGCCTACAGCACCACTGAAGAGTGGTGGAACTTTTAAGAGATGGGGATCAAATGGGGGCCTGCCCTTTAGGGGCTTACTGTCTCCATTCTACCTTGTTCTCCTTTCCAGTCATAATGACCAGTCAAAAGGAGCAGGAACAAGCAACCTGAACTAAAAATACAAAGCAGAGTAAACATTATTGAAGTCATAGTGACAGAAAGCTGTTCCATTACCATGCAGTGCAATGCCATGTAGAATGGTTCCTGAGGCAAGTCCCAGGGATCTGGAAGTAAACAGCTTTGAAGCGTTATCACCTTACAGTAACGACCCCTGCCTCATCACCCTATCCTGGAGACACCAAGAGTCTTAGTCTCCTCAAGCTGTGCTAACGTGTCTCCTATTTTTTACAATGTTCTCTATAATTGTTTTCCTAACAAGTTGTTATGATTATTCTCAGTCCCAAAGCCAGGGGGTGCTTGGTTCTTGGGGTATTAATCTGTCCATGTTCCTGAAAGCACTGTATTCCACAGTCTGTGTCAAGGAGCAGAGGCTGAGAAACACGACCACACTATTTCAAATGTGTTGAAAGAATAGCAACCAGGGGAAACTGCTTCCACTTCAAGATGAAGAAAGTCCTGAGATACTCAATGGAAGGTAAGAGTCATCACGGTGCTTGCTGAACTTCTAACCAGCAATAGAAAAAAAATTCAAAAAAAGAAAATGAAATCCAAAAAATCCAAAAAAGAAAATGAAATTCTGATGCTTGTAGAACACCCATGAACTAGAGGAAATCTAGGGGAAATAAGCCAAGGCAGACACAACGCATGGCATGTTCTCAGACTACTAAGTAGAAACTAAAAAGCTGATGTTAACAGAAGCAGAGAACCTAAGAGAGGCACAGGAACCTGGAAAAGGTTTCCATGCACGGTCAAAACAAACCAGCTCTGGCAGGAGGAACCTAGCCTGCCGTGCATACACAAATACACGTAAACAAGTCTACTCGGGGATATGTTTAAAACTTCAGAAAACAGACCAGGAGAGCTCAAATGTGTGTTATGAGAAGGATACAAGAAGATGAGTCATTAAAGAAGATAAAAGGCTGTTTGGTTTCTTTGTTTCAACCCCACCACAGTGTTTTCCATACAGCTGATAAGTGCATGCCTGCAACTGTCTATGTCTACTGCAGTAGGAAGATCCCAGCATCTGCTGACCCTGGGAAAGCAACTGTGGAGGCTGGGCTTATCTCCAAATGCACTAGCACTATAGCAAAGAAACTAGACACTGCGTGTCACTGATACAACTACTGCACTGAGTTGGTTAGAATGTGTTGTGGTTTTATTTTTTTATATTTGCTGGAGGGAAGGGTTATAAACTTAAAGTTTCCACTTTTTTCTTTGAAGCAAAACTGTATCAAATTATTCTGCCAAACTGTTACTTAACATGTAAACTGCAATGCTGTGTGTGAAATAAACTGCAGTTCTTAGAGGGATAATGATGTTCCACAGCACTGACTACAACTAAATCATCATTACTTCAGTTTTATATATATTAATTGCCTAATTTAATCATCACATGATATATGTACAAAAATATCACATGGTACTTCGTAAGTACAGGTAATTATGAGGTGTCAAAAAGAATACATTTGGGGGACTGGAGAGAGAACTGAGCAATTAAGAGGACATGCTATTCTTACAGGAATCCAGTTGAATTTCCTCCCACCCAACTGTCTGTAACTGCAGTTAAAGACGATGCAATGTTCTTGTCTCATCTCCATAAGCACCAAGCATGCACGGGGCATGCATGCATACACGTAGACAACATACATATATACAGTCTGTTTTTAAAACCACACAATTTTTAGAGGAGAAAAATGGATTCCAAGCCTGTGCCAGCTGGTTTTTATATCAACTTGACACGATTTAGAACCATCTGAGTGAAGGGAACTAGAACTGTGAAACGTGTCTGTAAGACCAGTATGTAGGCCAGCTCACAGAGCATTTTCTCAATTACTGATTGATGTGGGACAGCCTAGACCAACCGTTTTCAACTTGTGGGTCACAATCCCTTTAAGGGCCCTTGAACGACCCTTTCACACAGCCTGCATATCAGATATCTTACATATCAGATGCTGACACTACAATTCATAACAGCAAAATTACACTTATAACGTTAGGGGTCACCACAACATGAGGAACTGTATTAAAGGGCCACAGCCTTCAGAAGCTATGGTGTAGACACTAAGGGCCTTTCTGTACAGTGCTTGTGTTACCTGAGGGTGACAGTTGGGGTTCACAGAGACCAGAACAGCTAGAAGTGTTTTGTTTGGCTGTAATAACTGATGCTGGTCAGCTGGAATTGTGAAATTAAGGCGAGATCAGCAGAAGCTGGAGAAACAGCTTAGGGGTTAAAAGCACCAGCTGCTTTTTCAGAGGACCCAGGTTCAACTCCCAGTGCCTACAGCCATCTGTTCACAACCATTCTTAAGTCCAGCTCCAGGGGATTAGAAGCACTCTTGTGACTTCCATAGGATTAGGGACAAAAGTAGTGCACATACACGCAGGCAAAACACAGATATATGTGAAACAAACAGAAAACAAACAAACAAACAAAAAACATACACACAAGAAAACAACTTTTTAAAAGAGAGAGTCCAGCATCACTGAGGTAAAATCTTCTGGGAAATGTTTCCTCAGAGTTAGCACACAAAAGCTGTATTCTAGAGCAGGCCAAAACTGTACCTTGTGCTGGTAGCCAAATCTGAGAGTGTCAGAGTATACTGGTTTTGAAGGTATTAAGCGGTCATCAAGAGCAGCTAAGGCTTGGCACTAAATTCCCTGAAGAGAGCCCAGGAGAGGGTACTAGGGAAAGTGTAGCAAGAAAGCCCGGCATATTGGAGATGCCAGCACCATGGGATAATAAGCACAAATAGCAGCAGCATGGTGTGCAGTCAGGCTGAACACAGTAACAAGCTGTGTGTGCCGCAGAGGGTGGAGCTGGAGGAGACTTCAAGCCCTCTGGAGGAAGCCAGACACCGGGCACGGAGTTCTTTATACAACTCAAGCTTAATTTTGCTTTATTCAGAGTGTGACTGTGCCCTGGTTCTTGCTTCTTTAAGTAAGAAAAGTATTTAATTTGTTTTTGATTTATTGGAGCCCACAGTTGAAACTTTTGGAGTTTTAAAGAGACTTAACTTTTTAAGCATTTAAATTTGTAAAGACTGTGAGATCACTAATGATTTTTAATGTTTTATACTATAAAACTAGTATTAATGAGATTTTAGGGACATCAAGGATATGTTATACTTAACAAGTGATGTGTTTGAGTCAAGCTGACAACTTGACACAGCTAGAGTCATCTGAGAGGAGAATCTCAACTCAGAAAACGATGGGGCAGTAGGCAATCCTACAGGGCATTTTCTTAATTAGTGATTGATATGGGAGAACTACCCTTGGGCTGGTGGTCCTGAGTTCTATAAGAAAGCAGGCTGAGCAAGTCATAAGGAGCAAGCCAGTAAGTAGCACCATCCATGGCCTCTGTTAACAACTCCTGCCTTCAGGTTCCTGCCTTGACTTCCTTCAGTGATGACAGTGATGTTGCTATACTACAGCACCAGTAGGCCTAACTAAGACAATGCACAACAGAATCACAAAGTAGGTGAGCAATGAGTGGACAGATGGTAAATGAATAATTAACAGCCCTATTAATAAAGTAATTATTCTAAAAGATCCAGGGGTCATCACAGAGGGATAGAGCAGAGATTGGGGGTGGGGAGTACCCCTGGGTTGTTGGATTTTTAATTTTGTCAATCAACATTAAAATACTTAAATCTGGCCCCGTATAATGAGGAACAAATAGAATTTTCAGAAGTTGCACTAGCTGTTTATAATGTGAGAAGGTTCTGGAAAGATACCAAGGTCTACTGAAATTGCCAGAACTTATAAAAAGATGCCATTGCCTTTGATTTTGGGAGCCTGAGTCTCAAGATGCTCTCATAGCACCAAATGTGAGCTTAAATTCACTTTCCAAGAGCCACAGGAAAAGCCTAGGATTTGTGTGATCCCAGTGCAAACAGTGCACACATAGCTATCTACAGTTATTTATGCTGAGGTAAACTTACTTGACAAGCAACAGACAGTACGACAAGTCTATTTTAGCTCTTGGGCTCTCTATCAACTGCTTCCTTGCTCACCTGGAGTCTTTCAGTTCTCCCCAGAAACAACAATGGATTAACCCTAGGCAGAACCTGACAGGAAAATAACTCACTTTGTTGTACTAACGTGATCCTTACCCTAGCCAACTACTGAAACAAACCCTACCAGGACTGAAGCTGTTTTAAGTACACAAAATAGATTAAAACCTAGAAGAAAATAGGCTGTAATGCAGGCATTTCTCTCCCCATACAAAAACCACAAGTTTATAATTTATTTTAACAATTACAATGAGGCTGGGAGAGAGGTTTAGCTCAGTAGTACACTGAATACCTAGCAGGAGCAAAAACTTTATTCAATCTCCAACACCATATATACTCAAATTAAAAACAAAATATATTTTAATAAGTATATAAAAATACAGCAAGGTGTATCTATGTGTACCTATTACTCCTACAGATTTGAATACTCTTAACTGTTCAGCTACTACTACAGTAGTCATTGTGTCACGTTACAAATAGCAGCCTGGTGTGTTTCAAGGGTCCTTGGTCACGCCATACTTTACAGCTTGCATTACGCACTCTACATATATTTGCTAATCTGCTTTTCTTTCACAAAACCCTGAGTCAAAGCCATTTAATTACTAAAAAGTCCCTCCCTTTTCAGTTTGCTACTCTGAAAATAAAATTGGGTAAGAGATTTTTATAGCAGAAAGCTAGCTGTTTGTTTGTTCTGTAGAGACCAGACACCAACCTTAGGTGGTTCTTCAAAAACTGTCCTGGACTTTCTTGTTGTTGCTGTTGGTTTTGAGGCATAATCTTTTGCTGGCCTGGAGCTCACCAAATTGACTACACTAGATAGCCTGGAATCCGCTAGTGCCACCTTCCTATTACAAGTTACACACCTCTCCGGGGTTTCCTGCTGAGGATCTAAGCCAGGCCCCTGTATCTCTGCAGCAATCTCTATTAGCTAGAGAACTGTTTTCCAATACTGACTCTAGGGAAGTTTGATACAAGAATTCCACTCACCACTTAGTGTTTTCGATCTGACAGGAGGCAAGCCCTTTTTTTGGCGTTCTTTCTCCCTTTCCCTGGCTCTGCGTTCACTTGAATAGGAACGTGAGGATTTTCTCTTTCTCTCTCTTGAGCGGGAGCGAGACCGCTTCCTGTGCTTTCGCTTTCGGGACCCAGAGCGTGACCTAGACCTTCGTTTTCTTGGTGACCTACAAAAAAATAGTTATTTTACTTCTAATGACATTATTATCTTTCACTTTGAAGTGAATGAAAAAAGGAGCATCTGTCATATTTAACCACCTCTTCAACTATCCTAAAGTATAACCAACTATTAAACATGGGTTCCATTGTAGTCTTACGCTATGGATGACGACATCACTAATAGATGCTGATGGATAACTCTAAGTCTCAAACTTTATTCATCGAAAACAAAAGAAAAACACAACTCAAAAGGGCCTCACTTTCTGTTAAGTGTCCTTTAGCTCATTTTCACAAGAACAGATATAAGACTTTAGAAAATAAAAACTACTTAGGGAGTTTTAGGACACTATATAATCCTGTTTTAATATTTTTTAACGCCTAAAGTGTTCCAGTTCTTGACTTTACAAACTTACGCAGAGTCGCTTTCTTTACTAGACGTTGTTTATAAGCACGTTCCTATGTAAAGGAGGGACATAAGAATGCCAGAGAACGGCGACCTGGTTTTGATTACAGGATGTATTTTCTATGGGCTTCGTAGTATACCTAAGGTTCACAATACCTGTTTTTTGAGTGTCTTGGGAGACACTCTTGGTATTGTTATACAGTAACTTGGAATACAAGTCACTTAGCTTGATTTACACAATGTTCAGATGTATTAACTCCCTAAGTAAAGTATGTTAGTATCAACTAAAACAACTATAATCCAAAAATCACAATCTTGCAACAACAGCTGTTATTGTTGCATAAAGGACTCAAAGAGCAGACATATGAACAAAGGCTATCTTCTGGTTTTGGTTTTCAATTACTTTTCCTGAGACACTTTTTTTAAAATCCCTAAGTATTTCTTTTAATCTTGATGCAAAGAACTAAGGTAAACATTGCTATTAAATATTATTATAGAACCTTGATCGAGATCGTGAATGAGTTCTTGATCTTGAGCGAACAGCTACTTTCTTAGCTTCTGGTTCAAAGATCTCCTCTTCAACAACATCTTGCCCTTCATCAATATCCATATCCTTGGAAGGCAAAGGTAAGGGCACATAAACAAGAAGTTCAGTTAAGATTTAACATACAAGTGGAGTTCTGCCTTTACAATTATTTACAATATAGCATTAGTGACTCACCGGTAATAGAGGTAGGAATATAAAAGACACACAAGAGAAACTACATTTAGGCTACAGTACATTTACAAAGAACCTTACACAGTTAAAGGACTTTGAACAATTTTGTTTTTCAAGACAGGGTTTCTCTTTGTAGCCCTGGCTGTCCTGGAACTCATTCTGTAGACCAGACTGGCCTTGAACTCATGAAAATAGGCCTGCCTCTGCCTCCTGAGTCCAGGGATTAAGGTGTGCACCAAGATGGCCTGACTGACTTGGGACCTTTATGACTAAGAAAAGCAGTGACTTTTACCTGTTGCTGAATGTCTATGGAATCATCTAAATTTGCTTCAGGTTCCAGAAAATGCTGTTGGCTACTCCCTTGTGAGGGTGAAGCTGAGTGCTCGGACCCAAATGTTCCTTCCTGGCTATCTTGAGGAGTTACCTGTTGAGAACAAACAAATGTTCTGAGACAACATTTTTACAAATGAAAACTTGAATACAGCAAGCATCACAATTAAATGCTTAAGGGGAGTCATATTCATGACAAAGCATTCCTAGAGTAAGCCATCTGAAGTTATACTTTATATAAATCCAAATCTACTTTTAAAAGGAAAAGTCCCATACAGATGGTATTATATGTCTGTGTATAAAATGATTAGATGATGTAAGTCTTATAAACTACTGAAAGTAATACAAAGATAATACTTAATGATAGCAAGTTAAATTAACCTACAACTACATGATTAATTAGTATCAATGAAATACTCTAAAGATCCAATTAAAACCTGATATTCAAAAATTAAAATTACACATTACATGCTTAGAGGCAAAATACCCAAAAGTCATTACCAAAATTAATGATTTAGCAAAACTATTCCCAACTAAGGTCTTCCCCAACTATGTTCTCTAAGAATTCATAAAACAGTGAGAGGAAATTCCCTGTAACGGGTTACATTTTAGTACACATTGAGGAAACAAGTGCAAACAGAGGCCCACAGGCCCAGTACAGTAACACTGTGTAGTGATGCTGCTAACTCGATCTTAGTGAGTATGAACTTGAATAACAATTCCAATAACTGACTTCACTCTAACATGATGAAAGCCATTACTGGGAGAGGCAACCTGGTAGAAAATCTTTCAGGAACCTGAACCTGTAGGAATCTAGAAGCAGTAAGCTTCTGGGGTAACAGGTTAAAACCAGAATAAAGAAAAGAACTACACACTTATGGGCCCTTGTTACAAACTGTTCAGAAACAATCAACTCCCGAAAGGAGGAAGCAGCCCATATACCTTAGCTATGCACAAACAAAATGGAGGTCATAGGAAAGACACGACTCCACAAAGATTAAACAGAAATTTACATGTCTCATACTAGTCCAGCAATAAACAAACAGCTCTAGTTAGGTTTAAAAAAATCTACTCGCCAAGCATATTTGCACATGCCTTTAAACCCAGCACTTGGGAGGCAGATCACGGTGAGTTCAAGGGCCTCCTGAATTGCATAATGAATTTCAGGACAGCTAGAGGTGTAAAATGAGACCCTATCTCAGGAAGGAAGGACAGGAGAGAAATCGGGAGTAGCGGGAGGAAGGGAGTCAGTCAATGCAAATAAATGGGCAAGCACAGGAGATAAGACCTGTGCTTATCTGAGGCTAAGCTTTGCCTCTCCTGATATTCAACTAGCCACTAAGACAGGACTTAGGAAGCTTTGCCCCTGGAGTCATTAGGAGTGAGAGGGCCACAGGGCACTTGGTCCCACGTCAATGCATCATACAAACTCTACAAACTGTTTATTGAAAACCCTAGACAAAGAATGTCAAGCAAATGCAGTCAGAGAATAAATATGTCACTACCAAAATAAACTAATTAATCAATCAAACAAACAAACAAACAAAAAACACAAATTTAGTCCATACTGTGCTACTTACAAAAGTGAACTTACACTGGCTACAATCTTAATCTACTTTTCCTCCATTTAATTCTCAATGTAAATTACCAATGTGATAACACATAGTTGGTATCTTGAGTATATCTGGTTATTTTACACACTATTACAATAAAATAATTTTGATACAAGATTGGGATTTCTATAGTGTTTCAGCCACATTAAACCAGTTAGCATAATAATTTGTTTACAGGGAAATTTAGAGTTCATTACTCTTACAAGTAGTATATTTTACAACTACGAGAAAAGACAGAATCAAATAACGATTGTTAAGACCCTTAGGATCTGAGAAAGAAGCAGCTTTGCTTCAAAGTTGACAAATACACATTAAGCAAAAGTCATGCCAGACAACTGTCTCCTCAATCATGACAGAACCCAAAAGGTAGTAAGTATAACCTTCGTTTTCTTTCCCTTAACTTCATAGTAATGGCTGTCTCACCTGTGTGTCTGTCTGTGTAAAACACACATGCAGTGTCTAAGGAAGTCAGAAGAGGGCACTGGTTCCCCTGGAACTGGAGTTACAAATAGTTAGGAGCAGATGTGGATGCTGGGATTCTAATCTGGGTCCTCTGGAAGAGCAGACAGTATTCTTAACCATTGACCCATCTCTCTAGTCTCAGGTAAGTGTAAGCTTCCAGAATACAAACTTTTTTCACATGCAACTCTAGCTGAAATGCTTAAATGGTATAGGAACAACAGAACTCTTGGCCACACATCAGGAAGGTTTTTGATTTTTGCTAAATTCTACAGTCTGTGTTTAGCCTTCTTTAGGGACTAGATACCTAAAATACTTACTTTTATGTGTATGGCAAAGACAACTCACATAAATATTTCACAATAATTAATTAAAGCAGCAGCGAAAGAAATGCAAAGAAATAGCATGTTCTAGACCCTAATGATTATGGCCAATTAAAAAAGCAAAACCACCCTCTGTACCTATCAAACCAAAGAACTAAGAATAAAAGGAAGCAACCTAACCACACCCCATCACCTCATCAGGGCATTATACTGATTTTGAAACAAGAACCTTAAACGTTCCACTTTCTTAAAAAGAGTATCAGCATTTGAATTTAGCTGATAGAAAAAGAAGATTCATGACACTGAAATTATATAAAAATTAATGAAATTCTATTCCTTTAGTCTCACTTCTGTATTTAAAAAAGGATTCACTGGATCCAGGAGGCAAGTGACGGTTTTTCTAGTTACATCCTGATAAACACATCTGTTTTCTACAACTATGTATTCATGAAAATCAATAATAAAAACAAGGAACATATACAGCCAGGGCTACTATCGGCTCTCACAGTATTCTTCTAAGACTGGCACCTAACATTCCTATGTGCCAATATTCTATCGCCTTCAGGTATCCTTTGCTTCTATCGTATCTGTAGAGATGACAGCAAAGTCTATCAAGGGAGTCACTGAACTCCTTGTGCTACATTGACAGCATTTATCCAAATCAGCACTCTAATAACTCCATATGATCAATATGCCAAAATTTACTTGACTCCACAAACAGTAAGCTATCTACAACACAGCAGAATGCCACCTCTGTTCTTTCCATTTTGATTTTTTTTTTTTTTTTGCTATTGTTTGATTTTGAGACATGATCCTTCTATGTAGCCCCAACTATCCAGGAACTAGCTATATAAACCAAGCTGTTCTCCAACTCAGAGATCCTCCTGCCTCTGCTTCCTGATAGCTGAGATTAAAGGCATGTGCCACCACTCCCAGTTCTATTATATTCTGATAAAAGTAAATTATACCACTTCAGACATCCCATTGACAATGCTTCATCATTACTAAGGTGACTGTTTTAAAGATTCTTTTTAAAATGTTACTATTAGCATTTCATCTTGAGGTATAGCTCTGGTAACGTATTTTGACTATCCTAATAATCAGCAAAATCACAAAACTCTAACTTAAGACAACAGAAATCATTTCATTATGATAAAGTTTCTATTCTTCTCTAGTTCTGATCATTTTTCTTTTTAATTAAAAACACACTCCAATTTTTCAAATGTTCTTAAACCTTTAAGGTTCTTATTTCGGAGCCTTAATCCCAAGGTACACTGTGGCTGTGGCTGACCTGCACGGAGCAGAACAGCACCATTTTAGATACGATGTAATGTTAACAATAGTACTTAATTTTTCTGCAAATCTTATTCTATCTTTTTTTGTTGTTGTTAAAGATTTTAGAGCCAGATGTAGTGGGGGATGTTTTTTAATTCCAACACTTGGGAGACAAAGGCAGGTGGATCTCTGTGAATATGAAGCCAGGTCTACATAATGTGTTCCAAGACAGCCAAAGCTATATATATAAAATGTGATCCTGTCTCAAAGCCACCCCTCCTCTATCTATCTATCTATCTATCTATCTATCTATCTATCTATCTATCTATCTATCTAT